AAATAAACATTTATTTATTTTCAACTCTCTGCCTGTGATATGATAACCAAGTAATATAGAAGTTATAATGATTGACAGTGTAATTTGAGGTAATTACGCCGTTAGAAGTGGCAGCATTTATAACCCTAGAGTGTAATAACATTTGTGCATTATGTTTAAATACAAAGCAAACAACGCCTAAGTACTTGGATACAACAATTTGTTATAATTTTAATTCCATGATCATGTTCATAATTACGTTGCAGAAAGATAAACATACTCGTGGCAGAAATCTCTGTTTATGTTATTAACTACAAAACTAAAACATACTAATTTAGGTAATTCGGTTTAACGATATAAATTAGAGTTTGAAGTTGAAGTCATTATAATATGATACTCACAGATGAGCTATCTACTCTAACTATTTTTAGTTGCGATATCATCTCAAACACTAGATAAATATTTATTAACTTATATTAACTATTTAATATTCGAACAGTCGATCCTTACAATTCTTTCGTTCGAAAGAAATTTTATCCCCCGCCGAGATTTCTGTTGGTCGCTGGCCCGTCGGTGCCTAAAGTGACGTAGGCACATTGCATATGTGTGCTCGCGCACGTGTATGGGTGAAGTATCTCCAACGTCCATGTGATGGGAAGTGAACCCTTTACGCGGGGAAACCGTTTTTTATTTGCACTCGGACAGCGGCATCAGGTAGAAAGGATGATCGTTAATTTTTAAAGGACACACTGAACTTTGTGTTTATGCACTCGCGGTCACTATTGACTCTGATATAGCTTTGCTAGTGATTTTTTTGGGAAAGCTTTAAAATGCATTCAAATATGTACGAGTATATGCCGCACTTACAGTAAAAGGTCAGGTTGAATGTTCACTAAAAAGAAAAGTTCACGAGGGCTGCACGTAGTCGATTTCGAAAACAATAATAAACGGTCTCCACATGAATGTATGGCATGGACAGTAATTTGCGAACAGAATATTTTTTCTGTTAAAACAAGTTTTAATAAAAGTAGTCTCGATCGAGTGCTTATTAGTGTGAAATGTTTGATACGAGTGTCGTACGATGACGTCACCGTGGCCTGCGTCCACGCTCCACGCGCTACGGGAGTGTACGTCGGCGGCTGAGCGCGCCCGTTGATGTCTTTCCTAAGAGCTCACTGCCTCCCGCTTTCACGAGTTTATTGACCCTGTCCCCTGGCCATTTCGTACGAATTGTGCCATTTATTGCTTTGCATTAATTCAATACAAGTTTCAATGAATCCAATTAAATTACTTTTAAGTATATCTGTCAATTGTATTATTAGTACAAACATCATTGTAATATTGTGAATCTGTGAGTATCTTCAGTAGTCTAAAAGTTTGAATATAATTAGACTAGACAATCTTTAAATTGTACGTATCATATAGTACACAAATTCTCGCCCTAACATATATATGTGAAATAAAAGCACAACATCCATTACCGTAGCTAAAGGCCGAATCGAATTTTAAATTAAAAATTAAAGTGCAGTTGCATCGGAGTGCAATTCATTAGTTACGTTTTTACAGTATTCGACGATGCACAAATGACACGGCTCTGGGGAAGAGCACCGAGCTCGGCCGCCAATAAAAAGTGTACATAACTGTTATGATTTCCAAAAAAAAGCAGTTTATCAAGCAAATAATTACATTAAATAATGATTGGGGCGAGAAGCGGACGATGTAGGCTCATCTCAAGGGCTGGCGGCGAGCGTGAGGCAATAAAAAAGGCAGTGGCGGGGGCACGGAGGGCGCGCGGTGCAGGACACAGCCTCCAGTCGCACCCTCAATTTACAAGCGGCAGCGGAAAAATCATTTATATATAAAATTAAAGTAAATAAATGTTAGGAAACAATTTTATGTATTATGTATTATAATAAAAAAGTCTACACTTAGTCTTGTGGGAAGCCCCCGCTATACCTACCTGCTTTTAAATTTTATATTTAAAATGTTGGATATAGATGGCTTGCACATCGAATTTATATACATGGATACAACAACACAGTTATATATGTATATACTCGTATATATGTATATTTTAGAACATTTTAGAGCCTAACTACAACAGATAAAGAAGTTTGGTTAGTTAGTGCTCATTCCGCTGAGAGCCTACGTCATAAGTCGCATCACAACAAAAAGTCATCATTAAAGTGTTGGAGGCGCGGGCGCAGTGCGGCGCGGCGGGCGAGTAAAGCGAGGCGAGGGGCAACGCAGCCTCTCCGCCGCATCCTAAACGATCCGCCGACTTTTTATCACTCCCTACCAATCCATATCGAGCCTACTTCACTTGCTTTTTACTAACCCTTCCCGCACCAATGCCTTATCTTCAGTAATACCCTCGATGCACTTTAAATAACATTCAATTTATGTGCAGATAGTATGTCAAGATTCTCATACATCTGTTTTTATTCGAATATTTAATTTCTGTCGAGATTCATAAAAATTACTCGATTATGAGAATAAACATTACTCGAATGTACACTAAACTTCTTTATCACAAATAAACGTATAGATACATAAATTGAATGCAAAATCCATAATTTAAAACCAACCCATACTTATAATATCCATCGCCATTGCCTTTTATTAATTACTCGATTTATCTCTCAAAAAACCTCAGTTAATTAATTTTCCCTTAATACACGTACAAATTTCTTGGAATTCTATGTATATCTACCGAATATTTATTCACTTTCAAACACCTACACTTCTATATTCCGTCTATTCGTAATCCAAACGTTATTCTCTCGTTCGGTATCAACCGACACAAAATCCGTTCTCTTTTTTTAACGACCATTTTCTTTAATATATTCTGTGGCCAGTCGTAGAGGCAGATAACATTATCTATAATTTATAGATTAGCTTGTGGATGAGCAGATTATTGTAAGTGATTTTACTTTGGAGTTTATTGGAAGCACTAGTCGTTGAAGAGATAGGTATGACTTTACAATGTTGTAACATTATTTTGTGCTATGAAGAAGAAAGAAAGAACCAAGCTTTTTGTAGGTGTACAAATGATAAAGCGCGCTGTATATTTGTAAAATAAAGTTTCTTTTCAACTTAAGACTTGTGAATGCTCAAATGGTACTTGTTTATTAAGTCACATCGCTTTTCTGAGCTCCGCTTCGACAATAATGTTTGTTATGATGGTTAGCGTGACCGTAATTACTTTACTTCCCACTCGCAAAGTGAATCTTATTGTAAACGTGTGGCTACCGAATGTAGTGTCTTTATTGTTGTCAATACAGTGACAATTCCGGTCAAGTATCACCTACGCGATAAAATATTCAAGTGACTATGTTCCTGATTATTATAGGAATTTTCCTATTTTTGTGATATTATTAAAGTCACATTTTATTTTGTACCTCGCTAATTTAATAAGTAACTCAGAGGATAAAACTTAAAGGTTTTTACTTCGTATCAGGTATTATCGATGTATCGACAGTTTGGTGTCATTATAATGCTAATCAATCATGGTTCCAACTTTCCCAACGAGAAGATAAATCGATATGACATTACCAACATGTGATCAATTTATGTGTATCCTCAGAAAAGTAATTAATAAGTTTGAATGGGTTTTAGTAGCACATACCACAAATGCTCTCCGCTCAATAGGTTTAACTATATTAATGATGAGTAATATGACGTATTAAACGTTACACGTATATCACGCAGCTAATGTGTTTCCCTAAAGAGTTATCTTGATAGACTGGTTTGTAACATAGTGAATGAGAATAGACGATCATACCCAAACAAATATTACTACACAATTCACTACGCGTCTACTTCGCTGGTAACTGCTTTATAAAACTTGTCTGGGTTGGTAAACAGACGTAACTGATTTTACTACTGCTTTACGTACACGTAAATTATAACGTCATAAGAAGTCTTCTTATGTATGAATGACACATGACACGTTTTTATGATCGCAATGATTTGCAGCTGTTCTGCATTTGAATGTCCATGCATTTCACGGGAATTATTATTATTCATAGCAGTTTGTATACTGCGTAAAAAGTTACGTCATTTTTGCTTTAACATTGATAATAATATTAAACCTTCAATTATGGATCTCCGATTTTTTAATCACCTACTACCTGAATCCGAATCAATGGAAACGATGGACGATATATCTAATAACTATAGCTATTTATATGCTATTACGATTATCTCTATACTTCGATATAATGGCGGTTAGCTACATCATACCATCGAAATGTGATCGGATGGAGCAGTGGCTGCGCGCTCTCGCGGCAAGTTCAAGGTGAGCCCGTCGCTCCGCCCACACGCCCGCGCAGGCTCCTAGCTACACAACCGTTACTGGACCTCCGACACAACACCTCGCTTCACTATGAGGTCTCCCATACTCACTATACAACACTTAGTCGCTTATACAAATAATACTCTCTAAGTCCGACTTCTCAAATCGAGAAGTGCCAACATACATGAACAACTTCATTAGTACCATAACCGTTTGGGCCATTCATTACGATTCGCGTGCTAACTGGGTATATTCACAAATCATGTAAGTAATATGAAAGGCCGCTACACAATTAACTAGATTTGTGTGTATTGAAGGCCGCATGTCTTTATATTGTGTATAGTAAGTAAAATATACATAAACTATCGTACTTACTTGAACTCAAATAATTAAATTGGTATAAAAATCATACATATCTAACCAAATACTCCTTAGATTCTCTTCTAAATAATATTCATCATTACTTATACATATATATTTTTATCCACTTTATATTTTTGGATGGAAATTCCCATCACCAACGATTCCAAAGCGCAGACACCTGGCGACGCGATATTTAAATATTATCATCTCATAAATCACAAGGCAATAAAATACACCGCCGCTCAAAGTTAGTTAGCTAATTCTTTAGACGTATCTCATTAAGTACCGTGATAGGTATCTGTTTGGGCTGTTAACGATTTAATAAAAATATTTGTAAAATTTTGAAAAGCAAGTAACCTACCTGGGTATGGTGATAACTTGTCCGAGCTCGTCAACAACATGGTCAGCCAGCACGAGAACCGTGCCCTGTCCCGATGCACCGACAACCACGGAGACACCGCCATCTACCAGCTGCCCTCCTCCTCCCACCAACTGTCCATCTTCTAGCTGCCCGCTAATCATTTCAACCCGCTTCTGGTCTGGCGTCGTCGTATATATTACGGTTTGTTTATCATCCTCGTAAATGAGATCAATGGGTGTCTTCTCGTCGATGGACTCCATTCCTTGGTCGTAGACATCAGGTTGCACGGGTACTTTGCTGTCCGGAGCGTAAGCCGCGAGTTCATGTGGTGAATGGCGATAGGAGTGAGCATCATAGCCATCGTCGGAGTCCATCTCAACCTTGTGAGGGTAATAGTCGTGCGCCGGCTGCACGGGAGTCATGGTGGCAAGCACGGCGTGCGCGGGCGCAGGCGAGCGCGGCGCAGAGGCGGGTGAGGCGCAGCCTCGCGGAGTGCGCGCTCGCTCCTCGCACGCGGCTGGCGGCGACGCGGACATGGCGCCGCGCGAAGGCGCTTTCGGTGCCGTTCGTTTGCGTGCGGGCGGAGGCTCCTCTCAGGAGCACCCCGCTCTACACTCCCCCCGTATTCAACTTCTGCAAAAAAACTTTCCAATTATATTTATCATGCTTAATTAAATTATCAATATACACTGGCCAATATCTTCATTTGTTTGTTATTCAATGAGAGGACATGCTCGTTTTTATCGTAGTCGTCGATGTTACTATTCGCAAAAGCTAAAAATTTCAAATATGAGGCAATAGCTTTGCAGTGTCAATAACAATTCCGATTATATCCAATTAACAAAAAAATCATTTAAATGGCACACATAATACGCCAGGGCAATAGCAACAGCTGATCAGAGTCCAGTTAGAACAGAACGAGTATCAAGTGGCACCTGACCGGCGAGAAGCGCCCGAACTTGTTCAGAACCGCCCTGCTCCGACGCACCAGAGGCGCACCACGGAACGGTACAAACTGGTAACACCATTGTACCCACCACGTGCATGTCAAACTTGTCACAAACTAACAATACAACATAGTTGTCACAACCTGATATGAACAACGTGAGTTTGTTTTGGTGAAACAAGCATGTTACCGCCTTAAAATAGATATCTAACAGTGCACCCCTAAATCTCATCTAACAATAATCTTCCGAGTTTGCGTTGTAAATAAATATAATAATAAAACATATCACTCAAAAATTATATGTTAAAAAGATAAAATAATTACACATACACCATGGATACCATACATAGGTGTGAAGACATAATTTGTAACAAATCAATTTTTGAAGGCTGGAAGAAATATGAACACATAATCAGAAATTTTTCTTCAAGAGGTTCGAACGTGATAGTCATGCCTAAGCTAAAAAGCCCCATACAAATTGCAACATTTTGATTATTCAAGAAATTAATAAGCTGTTCAGTTAATGATATGATTCAACTGCAAAGTAAGAAATAATCCAAACTAACGAAACCAAGTGGAATCCTATTTGATTTGTACTGAAAAGTGCAGAGAGGTCTTTGTCAGTACCACATGCCAGCGAGAACGCCATTGCTTCGCCACAGGAGGAAAAATAAAATTACAAAAAGGCTTTGGTGCGGAGCCGGCTGTCAAAGTGTGCGCACACACAGACGCGCGAGAAGCTCGCGCACCGCTCAATACACCAATAAATACACGTAATGTTCTTTATGCACGTGTGTGTTACCCGCGCATGTGTTTGTGCCGCAACAGTCCTGTATGTATAGCACACATGTTTATGTTTCACACAAATTGAACCCTGGCTTTTGTTTTTTGTAGATTCAATCATTATTGAATCACATTCTCTTTTATTCACTAATGGTTAAACTACGTTCATGGTTACAATCAGTCGGTAAACAAAAACAACCAAAACAAAGAAAAACTTATCAAACGATAATCGAAAAAATACGAACGAAGACTGCGCTAAACAAAGCGTTAATATCACTTAGATGTAACGAACAAACGAGCACGTCATCGCACTGATAGTAAGGTCGGGGGCGGCGGCGGCGCGGGCGTCCTGGCGCAGATCGTCACGCACGTCAAACTAGTCTCATGACGTCACAGCCTGCCCGGCGAAATTACAAAACCGGCCGGCCGGGCGGCGAAGCAGCCTCCGCCAGCAAGCGGGCCGGTGCGGCGCAGTGGCGGGCGCGCCGCCGCCCGACCCCGACGCGCCACCGGCTTTTGACATACCGTGGGCGGCGTCTCGACGCTGGCGACGCGGGCCGTGCGCGGGCGCGGGCGCGGGGACTGAGCACGCGGCGAGCGGCGCTACGGAGCGCGGGCGCAGGTGCTCTGAGCGCAGCAGCCTCCGCGCGCCGGCGCCGCCGCCCTCCGCACCTCCCCGCACGTCCCGCGCGCCGCTCTCGCACGCACCAAAACGACGAATTTATCTTCCGCGCACGCTGGCCCTTCTCCCCGAGGACGTTGCCCAGGGTGCCTCGCCGAACTTAACCAGAAACATTATTCGACTTTTTTGCGTACAAAGAAATCAACTCTAGAGTAGGTTATATGAATTTCAATTTCTCGTACAGAAAACCATATCGACATATCTCAATCAAAAAGTAAGTTTTAAGGTATTTGTGGATATATTGAGGCCGAAAAGCCTTTCGGCGACAAACGCCACCTCGTCTAGTGACTGGACCGCGTCGCCCCCGGCGGCAGTAACTGTACGCGGTGGTCACTCAGCAGCAGTTACAAAATCCACGACCTGCGTAGTTGGAATTACCCAACTTTACGCAACTTCCCTTATTGGACTTTCATGTAACGAGATATCAACTCAATAAAATTACAAGAGATTAAGATATCAAAATCATCACCTAAAATAAGTACTGCGTAACGTAAGATATTTCATTCTTATGTAATTATTTGCAAAAACAAAAGATTCGATCGAATCGATTTCGACATTATATTTAAATTTCATAGAATACCTACCTCATTCATGTTGGTACCATGATATAACAGTTTAGGAACCAAACCCTCGTTGAAGTCTTTTGTACTAAGTTCCATACTGCCATAGGAAAGAGTTCAATGCGCTTACTTATAAAAAAAAATTATTACTAAAGTAGCAATTTCTATTGCACACTAAAAATAAAATATTTTGTATGCTTATATTTATATTGCTAAAAATTTATTTTCTAAATTAATTCCATCGGGTGCTTTAGAATGAACAAACTCTGGGCAAATAGAGAAATATACAAATACCGCAAATCTGAATGGATAATGTAAACTTAAGTAATTAATTCCTTGCCCACTCATTTCAAGCCCCACAACTAGGCACAGATCTCATCTAAAGAAAAAAAAATAAGCGTCACGTAACTTTTTAAAGATGTTTAAGTCCCCAACTTATATTGAATCAGCGTGTTGGACGTATACCCTAAGTCATATATTCATAGAAATCAACAAATAACGTACGTACCTATCATTCACAACGTAGTACCTATAAAAGTTTACTAAAATAATTTTATTTGAGAAATCCCAAGATCAGCAGACTCTTATCTATCGTCTGTCTTTGAAATGTTTTAAGTTCATAAAAGGAAACTCCTTGTTTTCACAATTCACAACTTTTAGAGCACGCAATTTTATTTTAGTAAACGAATTTTTCTAAATTATTACCTGTCATTGTGGGTCTGGATCCCTTGGCGTTTCGTTTAGTACTTCGCCAGAACACCAGGAGTTACAGTTCCCTGTACTATTACAGGAAACTGCCTAGTTTAAGACCGGGTATTTGGCGTCATAACATGGTAATCATTATCATTATCAATTAATAATCAAAACCGTCATATATATACATACACTCATAGTTACATTAGGAACTCACACAAAAGGTACATATTTTAGTAACAGCAGAGCTCCTTGTGAAAGAGTTCGTCCAGGGCAGTACTGCCACTTCACCTATTTCTGCCGCCAAACAGTAATGTGAGCATTACTGCGTTCCAGTTTTGAACGGCCCTATGTGCCTGTAATTTCACCAGCACACGTATATGTCTCAGAGTAACGGGCGCAATGGCAGTGCCCCTCCGGTCTTTGCAGTTTAAAACTCTGAGTGGCACTGTAACTATTATGAATAGGCGTGCCGCTTCCCACCTGGCGCACGACTTATTCGTCCCGTCACTTGGTATTATAAAAAAATACGTACATATATTCATAGATTAAAGATCTTTATTCCTTGGATATTGAAACCTACTATAAATTGCACGTATTTATTTACGTAGGTAGTAGAACTGAACGTTACCTGATAAAAAGCGGCAAACAATTTGTATCGCTAGCTTTTTATTCAACTACAACCAAGATTGTGGAAGATGTGTTTATTCGTTAGTATGTATAACCATTGTAAGATTGAAAATAGTCAAGGTCAGAAATAGTAATTTAAAAAATAATATTTTTGTTACCTATTAGTAATGCGAATTCAATAACTTATTTCACTAGGCACTTAGTGACAATACTCTGTAAATTGGCAAACAGCAGCGTATAAGTATCATGTTTAAATATTCGTTTTATGAACATTTGCTTACGTTAAATTTTGAGAATTTTCCTCTTCTTCTTCCTATTCCTTTTCCGTTTTATTTGGCTCGGGTTTCCTTGTGCATCGGCTTTGGGTTAGGACTTTCTCGACATGTCGACAGACGTTTTTTTCTCTTTTACGGGGTTCAGTGTGAATGTCTAATATTACCTTTACAGAATAGCTTTCTTCTCTCCTGCTTATATGACCGTGCCAGCGGAATCTGATCTCTTTAAACTTCTCTGACACCGGAAGGACTTTAAATGATCCTCTAATGTACTTATTATGGACCCTTAGTAGCTGTAGAGCTCCTTGTGAAAGAGTTCGTCCAGGGAAGTACTGCCTACCACCTTACCTATTTCTGCCGCCAAGCAGTAATGTGAGCATTACTGCGTTCCGGTTTGAAGGGTAAGGGTGCTGGTGAATTACAAGCATATGGGACTTATCCACTTTTATCTCAATATGACGGATGTAGTGGCTGTGCCCCTAAGATCATTGCGATTTAAAGCTCTGAGTGGCACTGCAAATGTTATGGATAGGCGTGTCGCTTACCACCAGGCGCACGATTTGTTCGTGCCGTCACTTGGTATTATAACAAAAAAAACCTTATCTAATGACATTCCTGAAAATGCTTTCCTCTAGAAAGTGTAATTCGATAAATCAATACAAATACTCTTTAGTGAAAAAAACAAAAGACAAAAGACAAGGGACAACAAACGAGTTTATTGCTCGATGGCTATCTCTTCCAGACAACTTCGAGTTAGTAGGATAAACTTGAAAACAATCATTTCCAGAAGGAATTATTATTACTTAGGGTTGGGCATACACTTCTACAGTTTATTGTACTTAAACAACGAGGCCTACATTAACGACAACCTGCCAGCATTTGCTATGACAATTGAAGCCATTGGAATTGGAACCCTTTCCACTCAAATGTATTTTTTTTATAATATCATGTTGGTATAACATTTTTTAACTAGTATAACAATAAACCATACAATATACTTATAATATAGTTTACGACTCCTAGGAATGCGAGTATCATCCACGGCGTTACTACTTCAATTATAGACAATCTTAATATGAATCTCGGACATTGTAGCGGCGGCGAGTTCGGACGCTTATTTAACTTCCCAGAAATGCTTAAATGAGCGGTGAAAGCCAACAAAACAGGTGTGTAACATGGATACGGGTACATGTGGTGCCATTTTACGAAACACTTTAAATTATGTCCGCCGTAAACGTGGTTGTTATTAATATAAGTATTTATATGTGTGCCATGCTATGCATAACTCGTATCACTTTTAGCTTTCAAACTTATATGGATGGTGTAATTTAAATTAAAAAGTATTATAAAACGGTAATAAAACCTCTCATGTGCTTAATTTACTGTTTCGTAACCACTTTTTTTGTTATCTTTAACGTAGATTAAGAAAATTTATCTAAATAATATACATCACTTCTAAAAAATAATAAAAATATATATATATAATTTATATTAATACGTAACTATTCATAAATAACTAATAAATAATTCGTATTGGTGCCTAATAATGAGACTTGTGTAAACAAATTGTCTTCATGCATCAAATTATAACTTAACAATAATATTCTTTATAAAAATTTAGTTAAGTAGGCAATTAACTACGTAACGAATTGCTTTGCCTATGTGGTTGTATCATATTCTTGGTTCCATCAATGTTTGAATTCATCTAATGAAATGTGAAAAACTAGACGTTTAATGTTGCTGCATAACAAAACCTTTTGAAAATCAAATAAATACTAGTCAAATAATTCGATAGGTAATCATGTGTTTGTTAAGTACTACGCTTGACTTTTGTCTAATGAATACTAATTTATGTTTTTCTATGTATTCTAATTCACAAGGTATTCTAGGATCGACGATTGGTAAGCAAAAGATCCTCGATTCCAATAACATATGGTAACAAAGGTTGGTATTACGTTATAACACTAAAGTACAAATTAGTCCTTTCTTTATTGCTATAAATTCTATCCCTGCAGAGTAACTAAGTACGTGCCGAAAATAACATTACTGACTTCGTTTTCCGACTTTGTTTCATGTTATGTATGCTGTATTCAAACTCATACTCAGATCATACTGACCACAGACATATATCTAGATAGACGCCGCAAGTACAGCAATTCGTATGAAAACCAAACGAGCGTGCCACATTTTTGTATCCACTACAGACGTCACAAGAACTATTTAGTGATGCAAACCTTCCGCTAGCTCTAAATCGATTTATTGAACGGAATACGCGTAAACACGCGTATTCCATTCAATCAATCGATTCTAAATAGAATATTTTTTGTTTAAGTATTTGTTAATTACAAGTGCATAATCGTGATATTAAAATAGTAGAAAAATACTAGAATAAGATAGTTTAGTCCTTTATTTTACGTGTTTCAAAAATGTAGATTACTTAAAAAAAATTAAGACTTTAATTTTTAATCGACTTCAAACATTAAAATTCCTTCTAGTAAAATGAGCTTATTATATAACATCTTTTTGTAATAGAAGATCTTATCGATTTACTTAAATAATGAAAAAGCAACGTCAATATATGAACTTGCGACTGCCTTAATTAATTTTACGTCTATGATTTTACTAGATGGTTTTCTGTTGGTAATTGGTCAAATTGATGAATGGCAAGACAAATGAAAATGTTACTGCTAACAAAATATGGTAAAATCTTACTAATCAGAAGACGTTTACTTAAGAGGGAGCAGAGGAAAAATTCCTAATCTTCGATTTGATTTTAGAGGGGTATATCCACTTTAAAGTTAAAAATAAAATATTGTAGAGTCACTACACGATATATTCAAGTATAGACATTAATCAAAAACATAAAACAATAAAGTTTCCTCGATAGATAAAAATCACGAAATGACTCTAATTTTCACTTTTTTTCGATTTATCCTCGAAATGCTACAGGTTATTAGGACAAAAATTAGATAATTAATTATATTTATGCATGATCGACAACTGTCACTACTGATTTTTTTAACCCCTTTAGTTTTAGAGTTATATCCGCTAAAACGAATTTGGTACTTTTAATGCGCAAAATTCAACATCTCCTGTCGCATGTCACGTGAACTTCAGGCATATATTTGTTTCACAAATTTGGGCGGTGCCAACGTCAAAACTTTTTTGGCATGAGAGCTCTTAATGACTGGCTTGTGAAATTTTTGTGATTTGTTTATTATTTCTCAGATTTCTAACTCTGCTACTCTGCATATTTGGGTAGCATCGTAGCATCTTCGTCCAACCATGACCAACTCCAGGTTTTTGTACAGACAGCGCACTGTTAATTATTTGCGTTATATATTTTTTTGTTTTTTGTATTACTCGTACTACATATCCGGCAATGTATGATTACATACATTGCCGGATATGTAGTACGAGTAAATAATATAATCGAGCAAATAATTATATTTGCTCACTATATTCGGACATTTGAGGCAACGTGCTGCAAAGATTATCGAAATTACAGATACTACTGATAATAGATACTACAAAAGTGAAAATAAAAATACGAAACGTTACTAAACGACAACAAAAGAGTTATAGAATACTTTTATAATATTGCTAAGGTCATAATAATTTTCGTTTTTCTAAATCGATCGGAATCGAGAACAGTGTTGCCTAACGTATATATCACTAAATCTTAAATTTGACCAAAAAAAATGTACAAGCGGCCGTACGATGAAACTAAATGCATTATACAAAAGTGCGTTCTTTCAATATTCATGGCGTATTAACAAAGGATCATAAATATATCGCACAAAGTAAAAGCTGCAATGTATTACAAATGAGGCATACACTCGGTTGCTTATTTGTTTTCTGGAAACTCATACAAAACCAAAATAATTGTTTTTAAAATAAATTACGCATCTTCTCATTACAAAATCACTTGCCCATGGAAGGAAACGTCCCTGTCTACCCATTTGCCCTCAGTTATGCTGCTTTTGCAGTTTATAATGGCACAATTATGCATCTTTTTGCGTTTTTGACTGGTCTTTATATACGATAACGGTCGAGCGCGTTCTGAAGTGAAGCAGCGGCAAGTACGTGAATTTCACTTACTTTCGGCACGCGAAGTACGTACACTTGCGGTGTCTATCTAAATATATGTCTGTGTACTGACTCATTAGGACTCTCGGATGTTATCTGCTAAAGCCTACCTACCCTCTAGCAAATGGGGAGCGACGACTACCGATCGTTTGGGATAAAGCGTAGCCATTCACTGAGAGCAAATGGCATCTCTGTATATCGTGCACTTTAATCGACTTCAACTTCAACTTTTGTGTCTATGGCTCCGTCGTTTTGCGCGACGATTTTGCCAACTTTAATCGACAAAAATTGTTAAAATCAAACCGACATATAAAACCTACCGCTTTAATTATATATTTTTTAGGATGGCAATAATTACCTTTGCTGTCGTGGAATCTGTCATTGAGCTCGTGGAGAAATCGCTGTCTCTTTCCCTCTTGAAAGAATAACCGACGAATGTGCGGTTTGTTCTGATTATTCAACAAGTTTTATTTTTTATTTTTCACTGTTTCCTACTTGGTGCATATTGTTTCATTACTGGTAATAAATTGCTATAACAATCGTAAGTATAATATAAGTTCTTGAAAACCCTATAGCTGTAAAATTAGTGCAATGCTGACATTGATATTCGAATTCATAACCTCAATCATAGTTTAAAATTCGTTGTGAACTCTTGAAAATGTAATTTTTTGTATCGCTGCTTGTAACTATAATTCATGTTCCTTGGCCAGAACACAGTAAATATGATGTAGTGATTGTAGTGTCGATTTTCAAACCATTCCTAATTAGGCGCTAACTATCGTTTCTGTAGATACATTAACCGGCAGTAGTTTTATTATCTGGTTTATTGTTTTTTTCAGACGATGTCCGCTCTTGTTCATGAAAAAGTTTGGTTAGACAAAACCCTTTACACCGACGCCGAAAGGGATTACTATGTATCGTTGTCAAAGGTCAGTGTGCTTGCAGGATTATATCTTAAATCTCAGTTTATATACATTGTAATATTTGGACACTGTAGTTCTTTGTAATAACTTAATAAATGTTTAGCTTGAAGTAGTACTTTCTCTCAATGTGTTTTGAGTTGACATGAATAATTATCTGTGAAAATGATGTTATAGGTTCGAGTTACTCCACTTACGTTAACTCAGTCTTCTTTGGCCAATGAAGTGGCAAAGGCTAGACAGCACATCAAAAACTCTCTAGAATGTGTGAGTAGATCTGTTTACTTCATGTTCACACATTTTTTGTAGTATGACTTATGTGCACACAATGATAGGGCACTTGTGCACGCTACAGTTTTTTAAATTATTTTTTTTGCATTGATGTGCTTGTTATTAGTACATTCTACTTATTTTGTTACTTTTCTGTTTGTTTCTTTAGTGTTAATGCTGTTATAACTTGTCTGTGTTTGCAATTACGTGTGTTTGTAACATGTGTTATACTAATTCTTAACGTCTTTCTATTTAGGTAATAGTAAATAATCATGACCTTTCAGATGGATAGTGTAGCCAGCCTAGCAGGAGTTCCCAACATTGAATTGTTTAACAAAATAAACGGCCTGGAGAAAGAAAACTCAACTCTCAAAAAGTCCATTGATGACTTGCGCAACTTGGTCATCAGCCTTCAAGCTAGAGTTGACTCCCTAGAAAAAGTGGGCACCAAAATAGGAGCACCTAAACCCCATGCAGAGGTTCCCAAAGTAAGTTTCTTAGTTAACCATATCATGTCGCACATGTATGTATTGCTACGATCTCTACATTGTGTAATTTTCTCTATTATTATTCTTTTCACAAATTTCCAGAATGGTGTATGAAATGTTTGCTTAACTTACAGCCCCAGGTAGTACAAGATGATGATGATGATGATGGTGTGGATCTATTTGGATCAGATGATGAAGAAGAAAGTGCAGAAGCTGCAAAAATAAGAGAAGAGCGTCTAGCTCAATACAATGCAAAGAAAGCCAAAAGTAAGCTCTGCATGTTACTGCTTTACTACTCAATTTGTGATTTCTTTTTTCTCAAAATTTGATTTTGGTTTTAAATATGCAATCGAAATTGATGAAATTATTATGCACTCATCTTAATTACATTACAGAACCAGTCCTTATTGCAAAGTCCAACATAATATTGGATGTGAAACCTTGGGATGATGAAACTGACATGGTGGCTATGGAAAAGGTAGTCAGAGAAATCAGCACTGATGGTCTTCTTTGGGGTGCAGCCAAACTTGTGCCATTGGCATATGGCATTCACAAACTGCAGATCTCTTGCGTCGTAGAAGACGACAAAGTCTCTATCGACTGGCTTACAGAAGAAATAGAGAAACTTGAAGACTTCGTAAGTGAAAATTTACTTCATATTTTAAATATGGGCTTCTAAGTTAAATTCAACTCTAATAAGATAAAAACAGTCCTTAATTTCTAAGTGGTACACTTACTGTTTTTACGGGACAGGAATCATTGTATTTTAATTATGAATGACCTAAAAATATTGAATTATTTTTGGTTTTTTGCAGGTTCAAAGTGTCGACATAGCGGCTTTCAATAAAGTGTAACAAAATATAAAAATGTTATTAAAAGCTAATTTCTTTCAACATTCTTTTATTTTCACTGTAAAGTCACTGTAACATAACTACTAGAATAGGCACGGGCAAATTGAACACAAAACAAATCCGTACGTTATTGCAGTGTGACCGTGGTCAAGTTTTTGAAATTTGACTAGCCTGATAAAAAGTCGCTATTTAGTCGATTCTAGTCGCGAAAAACTAGATTTAGTCGGTCTGCGCCGTTCAAAAGTTCTAAGGGTATTTTACTGCTCACGCTGGAATTTGCTTTTTCCGGCGGCATCATTTTTTGATCTCGAGAACTAGGTACAAGCTCCTAGCTTAAATCTGATTTCACCCAGAAAAGTCGTGAATTAGTCGGTTCTAGTCGCAAAATTTTAGTATTAGTTGCCCCATTGCTTAGAAGATACAACCGATTTATTATTTCAAAGGTAAACCTGTGTTAGTGTCGGAGCTCATTATTATATAAAACGCAAAAAGAACTAAGGCTCAGTCTACATTGCGGCGCAACGGAAGCGTCAATTTTGCTTCGTTGCACGAGAGGGCTCATGCGATCGCTGGAATGCTCGGCATTCGCAAGCTTTAGTATTTCGTCGGCGTTTGATGTCACATTGCACCTTTTTTTATATAATACCTAATGACGGGGAACACAGACTACTTAGTGAACTACGGGGAATAACAAGTCGTGCGCCTGATGGTAAGCTACACGCCTGTCCATAACAGTTGCAGTGCCACTCAAGACATTTAAATCGCAAAGATCCGTGGGGCACTGCAAATAATTCAAGACATTATTTTCATACTACAATGCAATATTAATCAGTGGTTTTTCGTGAATCGATTATATTATATAGTGCTTATAATTTGTGTAAAAGCAAACGGCCGAGATTCGTACATGAATTATTTGATGCACTAAGGGTGCAGTTTCCAGTTTGGCGGGAGATGTATTGTTGTAAATGTATAAACTTTTTTTGAATAAATGAATTAAAAAAAAAAATACTAAAATCACTAGTTATGGCCTTTCCCAAAGTTAAACACCTGTTTAGTGACTATGTATATTTAAGAAAAACGTGAAATTGCGGGTAGAATTAAACATTCTTCTTTCGAATATCGAATTTCATTTGATAATGTTTTGTGTAAACCTGCTTTACTTTTGTATTAGTTCTGTGGCAGTAAAGAACGCTAATTCATATTATGTTCTGTTATGAAGTCAATTCATTTTATTATTAATGAGTTCTGTGTAGTTAATGATATATATTTATATATGTGGATTGTTCATTTATTGTGTGGATCAATATGGCCTCAAAACGCGATCAAACTAAGTAACAAAACCAGAATACATTTAATCATAATATTGAATGAGGATAATATAATTATGTGAGTTTATAGATAAACCAATATGAGCGTTTTTCTCCTTTTAGGTACACCGTCTTTAATTATCAAGAAAAGTGAATACGCAATGTATTTTTTAACTTTCCTGAAAAAAATATTGATAGAAAACTTCAGAAGTTGAAATAATATTAATTCTCGAAATAAGCTGCCCGGAAAAACACATTCCAGAGTTAAGAAAAATATATAAGGACTATTTTGAAAAGGTATTTATTTTAAAATGGAAACAGTGTAATTAGTACCGCACCGCAAAATGTTTTTAGAAAAAGAGAAAGACTGGCTGAAAAAGACAAATAAATATTGCATATCTTATCAAGGCCGACCTTCATAAGATTTTCTGAATGCAAACGATTCTACTAAACGTAAAAAATTAAAGATTGCAGAGACGAATACAGCCTATATGAATTAATATACGCTACTCAAATGAGTTTGAGGAAAAGGAATAAGGAAAATTAAAAGAAGCGGAAATAGTAAAAAACGTACTTTTATGAAATCATACTTATAGAGAGTCGTATTCCAGAACTGTACTCAATGCTCAAGTCAGGATTTGAGCAGACTTGAGTATGATTTGAAGCACTGGAAATACGACCCTACTGGCAAGGACTTGAGTATGATTTTCATTGCTCACTGCAATACTCATGTCCTGACTTGAGTATTGAGTAGAGTTCTGGAATACGACCCTGAGGGTGGTTTAAAGCACTCAAAATCATACTCAAATTCCTGCCATTAGGGTTGTATTTAAAGTGCTTGAAATCATACTCAGATCCTGACTTGAGCATTGAGTAGAGTTCTGGAATACGACTCTCGGTGTAATAGCCTTAGAATAATAATAGCATTAAAAAAAACGGTAATTTTATTGATTTTGTATGAAAAATATTTTATGAAATTTCACAAACTTTGATTGTCCCGATTTTTTAATTCCATACAATAAAATGATCTCTTCATGAAACTGAGACGATGAACACTAAAAAATAATTTGATAATAATTATTTTGATAAAATTTATTTTTATATATTGAAGTTGGATATATTTAAAAAATGCGTTTCGAAAGTATCTATTAGGTAATTCTAGACAAAACATTTAAAATAAGTAAACATGGTAAAAATTCCTAACAAAATTC